TGTTCCTGGGAACATTGAGGCATCCCAGGAGTTCTCTCTAAACTGGGAATTAGTAAGTGCTGTCTGACTTGGCTGAGATCTATCTATCTATCTATCTATCTATCTATCTATCTATCTATCTATCTATCTATCATCTATCTATCTATCTATCTATCTATCTATCTATCTATCTATCTATCTATCTATCGAACATCTGTTTATTGTCTATCATCTATCCATCCATCTTTCTATTTCTACCTACCTTCCTATTTGTCTCTCCATCAGTCTACAGTGTGTTTGTGTGTGTGTGTGTACGTCTGTGTGCGTGTTGCTGGATATATAGCCCAGTTTGGCCTCACACTTAGCAATCCTCTTAACTCAGCTCGTCGGCTGCTGAAACTTCAGGTGTGCCACCATGCTAACTAGTTGTATCTTCTAAAATGAAGGATCTGACTTCAGGTAGCATTCTCTACCCAATTGTCCTGTCTCCGACAGTCTTCCGAGATCTGGAAGAGTTTCACAGTCATTTCTTTCTTGCATGATTGATATATTTCAATAAGGTAGGTTATCAGTATTGACACAAAAACACAGCTCTTACCTCGAAATGAACAAGAGACAGTTTATCCTGGGGCTAAATATTAGTGACCATTGCCCAGGAACACAGATTTATGACACCTTAAGTTCCCTGTTCTGATGTGGAAGCAGTTTCATGATGTAACAGAGTAGAAAATAATAAATCAAAACACTTTTTAAATACATTGGTGGCATCACCAGAGAGGCAGGTTACAGCAAAGCTGGGAAGCATGTCATGGGCTTATCCGGTGCCACTCCTAGCTCTGGGGCTGGCACGGACTAGTGGTCTTCTAAGTTAAACCATTTGAAAAGGTTTCACCTAATAGTCACAACTATGTTACAGATACAGAGGTGGGAAGAGCATGGCTAATAACGGGACTAATTAGTAAACTAGTCTTGCAGCAGTTTCAGTGGAAGGTGTGGCTTCTTTCCAGAAACTTCTTAGAGTGTTCACCAATAAGGCTTGTTCAATAGTAGTTTGTTAAAGATACTTTTCAGGGAGAGGTGACATTATAAGTTTCTTACAGATATAGACATGACCATGCCTTAAAAGAATTTACAAAAAAAAAAAAAATAGAATTTACCTGTAGAATATGAGGGAGCCAGACAGGCTGTAATATTTCAAAGAAAAGTCAAAAGAGCATAGATTTATAAAGAGCAAAAGAATGTTGAGATGAATTGCAAATGGATACAGAACTGGTTTTCCACAAGCAGGGAGGAAGCCAATTAAATCACCACGAGACAGGGGAATAGTACCATTAGTTATTCAGAGTTTGTGGAGTTTTAAAATGCCTTCAAGTCAGCGGGCTAGGGCCAGAGAGTGCAGAAGGCGTGCTAGGGCCAGATGGTGCAGAAGAAGGGCTTGCTGCACACATTTCCTCAGTTGCCCATGGAAACCCACGTGTTTTCTTCCAGCTTTATTTACTGTTTTTTCAAGGTCAGACTCACAGTCTCTGCCCTTATCACAAAGGCCTGTTGGGTCTTTTAAAATCTTACCCTGTTGTTGACACGTGAAGTCTCTTTGTCTTACTGACCACGTTACATTTGGTCACTTGGTTAGGACCAGGCATCTTTATTGTGACATTTTCTTTTCCAAAATTTGCAATTGATTCATACATAATTTGCAGGAAAATGCCGTGAAATCATGCAAATGATTCTGTCATCTCAGTGGCTCCCTCAAAGGCTTGTCTCAGTGATGGTGCATGAGCCCTTCGTCATGCTATTGTCTCTGTATCTTATATTTCCTTCCTCTGTACCAGCAGCTCTATGTGCTAGTGTTTATTTGTTTCATCCGTTGATTTCTAATGGGCTGCTAGGTTAGCTCTGTGTCATTTTTGTACAGCTAGTCTAGGTCTGAGCTCACGGATACTATGCTGAGCGCTGTGACCCAGTGGAGGGTCATAAATGTCATAAATCACGTTTCTGTGACCACCCCAGAGGTTTTGTCCTTAAACTTTATGGGCACATCACTCTTTATAACCAAGCAGATCCTTTATTCCTATTTGTTTAGTAGGCTGTCCTCTGTCACTAGTATTACTGATTGACTGTTCCTCTTGTCCCAGGCTTGGCCCATGGCTACGCAGTCTGTGTCCTTCCGACTGTTCCATCACTTTCAGAACATTTCTTTCTTTTCTGGCTCACCATGATGTTCCCTTTATCTCCTTAAAAAAAAAAAATCTTAGCGTGAGACATTTTCTAAAGAAACTCTATTCTCTGTAGTTCTACTGAGTTCTTACAAAGGTTCTTAGTAGATATATGCTCAGGCCAGTCTTCCCTTACTTCTTTGATTCTACCTATGGCTTTTTGATGGTGTAAGTAAAATAATAAGTATTGTTTTAAATAAACGAAGGGAAAATGAAAAGTGTAAAAACATATTCTTTTCACTTGCTCATTTTACTAACTACTAGAATTTAGTTTTCATGTGGCTATTGAGTTTCTGAAGGAATTTTCAGCAGTGTGGGAACAGACACAGCTCCATACTGTCCCCCCTCAGCAGCCTATAATTCCCTTTATCTTTCGATGCATTGACAGTAGCCAAACCCAGATATGTGACTTTGACATTATCAGTAATGGACCAGACATTCAGGTCTTGGACTTGCTGGTGCAATAAAGGGAGTTGGAGACTTTGTTAAGTACATCTTTATGCAGGCCTCAGCATAGCAATTGAGAGAAAGAGTTTGTCAGATAAAATAGGACATGCCCAAGAGTATGTGATGTGCTTTTCTAAGAGACTGTCATAGAGGGTAAGACTCACTCAAGTGTGGGATGGGTTACTCAAGGGAGACATAGAGAGTAAGACATACGCCAGTGTAGGTATGGGCTCCTCTGGGGAGAGTCACAGAGGAAGACATACGCCTGTATAGGTACGGGTTCCTCAAGGAAGAGTCCTGATTAATTATCTTAGCCTTAGCCATACATACTATTTTGGTGGCTCTCAGATGTTACTAAGAAGCCATTTTTTTTCTCTCCTCTCTTTTATCAGTGAGATATGTGGGCAAGCTTTGGGGATGCCCAGCATGGAATTATGGTCTGTAAAACAACACCAGGAGCCACTGTGGTTTGCAGTAACTTTAGCACATGCCACCTTCCTGAAATGGGTTTCTAGTGAGATTTGTAGGAAACTGCAGCTTGTGTCTAGGAAGGGAGAAGGCTTAAGCAGTTGTTAATTTGGTGGGATTCTTTCTTCTTTATTGGCAAGAGACTTCAACCAGATTCCTAAAAAGAGGGTCTATTCCCTTCTCATGTACCCCAACTTTTCTCGTTTTTCTTTCTTGCCTCAATACTCCATTTAGACCACAATTTCTCCTGAAGAGTGAAATCATTCTGCAACCACTTAAGTACTTAGCTGTGCACCTGAACTTCTGTCTCTTTGTCCTTATACAGAGAAGCTGTGGTCTTCAAAGGATTGGAAAAGCAATAAGCTTACAGATGCAATGGCCTGCATCATGTTGGTGCCTTTTGACAGTCATGAGGAATGAAAATTAGATGTCAGGGAGTCTCCTAGAAGTAGCCTAAAAGTCAGATGTGTGGAGGGGTAATGTGTGGGAAATAAGAGATGGCAATCTCAAGAGACTAGTGAAAAAACAACATTCTAACATACTGCTCTGAAAACTGGCACCGGCTCTCTGAAAACAGAGAAACCAAAAGTGACTGGTGTGCTGATCTGGCACAAGACCGTAGTTTTGTTTTGTTTTAGAGACAAAACTTTTCTGTGTAACAGTCCTGACTGTCCCAGAACTCACTTTGTAGACCAGATTGGCCTCAAACTCACTGAGATTCACCTGCCTCTGCCTCCCAAGTGCTGGGATTAAATGTGTGCTCCACCGCCAGGCTTAAGATAGTGGTTTTTGAAGTTACCCAATCATGAGAAATTCCTGTCTTCTCCCATAGGTGAAGATATTTCCCCTTCCCAAATACCCATCTCTGAAGTTTAGGATACAAAGCCTTATCTAATAATATTCTGTGGCTCGAGACCCTCTCCTTTTTCTAGTGGTGGGCTCAGTCACACGCAGACCACCTGGGACGTTCCAAGTCTCAGAGTCACGAGAGAAGCAGGCAGCAGCTGCAGCTGGAGGAGAGAGGGACTTAGCACCTCCTGCCTATCTTTGTAATTGATGAACGCCAAGCATACCTTGTACTAAAAATGTAACATTACAGTCTGTTTCTTATAGGTGGGACCAGCTGTAAAGAGGGGCAGACACTAATCCACAAAATAGCACATTGAAGGCAAATTTAAAGCTGGATTGATCTGGCTGACTAGAGGAATCGAAGGTGCTTTGAGAAAATTAGTCTATCTCTGTCTTCTTGAGCCTGGGAGGTGTTGTCCCTTACCTCTCAATTTTTCTTTTCTTGGTTTAGTAGTCCTAGCACTTCAGACTGGGCTGAGGCAGGAGGATAGGATGCTTGCAAGTACAAAGACAGCCTGGGTTTCATAAAGGAGACTTGGCTTAAAATCAGTAAGTGCAAAATATTTTTAAAATGCACACACATTCAGAAGCCCACATGTCCTTTATTTGGTTAGGGTTGTCTGTCTCAAGCCTCATCTCAGAGTTCAGTCCTGACATCTTAACCGATCACTGTTATTCCCGGGAGGATGCACTTGCTCTTAAGAGAGGGGGAAGAGATTAACGAGCAGTGGGGATTTGCCGGAAGAAAGAAAATCGGTTCTTTCTGGTCTAGTCCTTTTGCCACAACTTGGCCCATTGCAAAATTACCCATTCTCACTCCTTGGGTAGTCTTCCGCCATTGAATACGGGCCCATCCTGGTCTCCTGAGTGCTATTATTGTTACTATTGAATGATTATTCTGGCTCATGCTTTGAAATGGACAAGTGTTTCTACTGTCCTGTACCTAATCCTGAATTTTCTTTTAAGATAGGTTTCTTTTGGAGAAATCATTACTTTGAAGCATGTTTCTCATACATATATTTATTTTTTTTCATTTTGCAGCCGATACCAGAAGTTGCAGAAGATTATGAAGCCTTGGTAAGAATACGTCCTCTATTGATGTGATTTTATACTTTATTTACTCTGCATAATTAAGTTGTGGCCTCTTATTTTATAATTATGCATCTCGATATTTTGAGTGTTTCCCCTTTTTTGTTTGATGTTCTTATAAACAACTTAGCTTTTTCCTTTTGCTATTTACTTGTGGCAGAAAGGGTATTTTATGATTGTTACCACCAAATGATCAAAGCTGAATTGCTGTCTTCCTGGAGCAATGATAGGCATAATTTTATGTATTACTTTAAATAAAATGTTTTCTTTTGTGGCCTATGTGACATTCAGAGCTAGAGTCTGACTTTCTTCAATGGCTTAAAAAACAAAAGATCTCTCTATATAAAGGATTATATAAAGGATATAGAATGAAAATTATTAGAGTCTGAAAAAATGGTTGCTCATCCATTTCCTATGTATTAAGTTGCCGGCATTACGTTTATGTCTAGAGATGTTAGAAGCTACTTTTTAAAAAATAATTTTCTTTCTTACTGAGAATTTCATACATGCGTACAAAGAAATACAATCATTTGCATCCCTGATCCCCTCAAACATTCCTGGTTTGTTATTCCCAACTTGTTTCATGTTTGCTTGTGTGTTTGTTTTGATAACCACTAAGTTTAATCATTGCTTCCCTGTATATACATAGAGGGTCACAATGGACCATGGTACCAGTGATCACGCCCATAAAAAAAAGAATGTGTTTCTCTCCCTAGTCTCTACCAACTGCCCGTAGTTCCTCAATAAGGGGCAGGGACTGAACAGTGCCTCTCCCATCTACGGCTTGATCTTATGTGGGTCTTCTTCTGATAACCACAGCTGCTGTGTGTTCATGAGTTTGGTAGCCATAGCGTGTCTCTAGGAGAGCATTCACAACACTCCTTCCCATTTTCTGGTCCTTATATTCTCTCTAGTGTCCTATTCTGCAACATTCCCTGAACATTGTTTGTGTCTGTGTGAGCACATGTGTGCACGTGTGTTTAATAAGGATGTTCCATTTAAAATTCTCTTTAATCGTATGTATATGTGTGTGTACATATGACTATATGGTGTGTGTGTGTGTGTGTGTGTGTGTGTGTGTGTGTGTATGTCTGCTGTGGAAGCCAGAGAGGGAGTTGAATGCCCCAGAGTTGGGTTTACAGGTTGTTGTAAGCCACCAAATATGGATGTTGGGGACTGAATTTGGGTCCTCCAGAAGAACAGAAAGTACTCTTAACTGTTGAGCAAGCTCTCCAGCCCTAGCATGTCCCATTTAGGACATGTTTCCATAAGGCCTTTTTATAGATCCTTGGCTGTGGTTAACCAACTCGTAATCTCTCCTCCCTTATTTCAACACTGCCATCCCTGCTTAGTCTTTTATCCCCACTATTCTACACTTCTTGAAGATCACATTTATTCCACTGTCTCTCCAGTTAACACTTCTCTATTGGGAACTGGCAAGATGGCTCAGCAGTTAAGACTGCAAACACATACTGTACACTTCCGGAGACACAAGTTTGGTTCCCAGCACTTCTTCTTGGGCAAACTCACAATTGCTTGTAACTCCAGATCTAGGGGATCTAACACCCTCTTCTGAATCCTACCAGCAGCGACACACACATGGTAGATACTCACACAGATATATACAGTGTGTACCATTAATAAATATAAATAAAAATAATTTTTTTTTCAAATTTTCCATTATAAGTTAGTTTTTTTTTAAAAAAATCTACTAAGCAGAGTATGTCCATACATGTCTAACAAACTCGCTAAAGCAGATTGAATACATTTCTGTGGTACTAAGATACCAAAAAGATATTTTCAGTTTGACTCAGAAAGCTGAAAACAGTCTCAAAATGTACACCCCCTCCCCATAAGACAGTTTCTCTGTGTAGCTTTGGATGTTCTAGAACTTGCTCTATAGACCCGGCTGGACTCAAACTTAGAGATCTGCATGCCACAGCGTTCCTGAGTGCTGAATTATAGGTGTGGCCACCACCACCTGGCTTAACTTCAACGTTCAAGCCTCCAGACCAGTAGTTCTCAGTCTTCCTAACGCTGTGACCCTTTAATACAGTTCCTCATGTTGCAGTGACCCCAACCATATGATTATTTTTATTGTCACTTTGCAATTGTAATTTTGCTATTGAGTGTTGTCTCAGTTCTGAAGACTACTGGAAATATGTTTTTTCCCCATTGGTCTGGACCCACAGGTTGAGAACCACTTCTCCAGACAGAATATTGTTTACCTAATTCTGTAGTATGAGTTCAGGGCAGTAATCTCTCTCACTGCTCCCACAAAGGAAGACTATTAGTTTGGAAACTTTTTGTGTATTAAATTATTATATGGTGGAATGGGATAATGTGTTTCTGCATAAAGTTTCTAAGTTTTAGTTTCACACATTTTAACATAGTAGGAGTATTTAGGTAAAGCAATAAAACCCGTCTTTTGTGATATATCTTGAACATGCAATCTTAGTTTTTGAACTCATTACTTTTAACCTACACTTAAATATACCACACAAGGTCAGAATAATGAGGGCCATTTCTGTGGTGCAGAGGTTAAAATCAGATAGATGGTAGAGTGAGGATAAAAACTTACCTTCAGCCTCCTAAATTTGCTAAGTTAGTGGAATTGGGATTCTTAGCCAATACATTTTCTTTAAAAATTGCCAGCTAATTTTAACTTTTGTATTGTTGAACCACTGAACAATGTAATGGGTGTTCCTTTGTCTTTATGGGCAAAAGTCTCTAACAACGACCCAGATTCTGCTACGACAGAGTAGTGTAATCAGGCTAGCACAGATGATGGAAAAATATCTGTATTAAGTGTTATAGAAACTCCTGTTTGATGATACTAAAGGAAAAACATAGAAGGAATCAGTCCTTGAGGAAACAAATGGGATTAACCAGTTACTAGTTTGGGGACAACAGGCTGCTAGAATATTAAGGAGACTCCACGGGGTGGGGGAAAGCTCAGGTTTTGAGATATTTCATCTTTATATGACTTATTTAGGAATCTATCACACATGACGGCAGTGTAAATGCATGTGTGTAGACTTCCAGAGAGCCTGGTTTAAAAAAGCTTGAGTCCTGACTGAAAACAAAGGATTGTTCAGAGTTGTGAGCTGTCTGTCACTGCTGAATGTATTTGAGCTAACCTACTAGAACAAAAGTCCAAGTTATGAAGACCGACCATCTTATTCAGTATCTAGCCTATCATTAATTACTATATAGAAGAAAAACATTAAGGGTGAGCCATATTTAAGAGAGGGAGAAAAGAATCCTTGGTAGAAAACTGAACCCAATAAGACCAGGTATTGATATTGGCAGGTGAAAATTCTAGAACTTTTTTTCTAATAGTAATAATAGTAGTGGTAGTAGTAGTTGGTGGTGGTGGTGTGTGTGTGTGTGTGTGGTTGTGTGAGAGAGGCAAGGAATAGGGGATAAAGGAAGGCAATGGTGGTATAAATTTGAACAAAAGTCAAGTGAAAGACATTGGAAAATGTCATAATGAAACTCATTACTTTTGTACTCTAACAGAAGTTAAAATATGCTTTGAAAAATAAAATACAGAATAATAAATGAACTGTTGTGAAGTCTTAACAGAGAAATAGAAAGCATGAAATGCAAGCTGATACCATTTATAAAGCTGAAATAGTAAGGGCTGGAGAGATGACTCAATGGTTAAGAGCACTGGCTGCTTTTCTAGAGCATCTGGGCTCAATTCCCAGCACTTACATGGCAACTCACAACAGTCTGTAACTCCAGTTGCTGGGGATCTGATGCCTTCTTCTGGCTTTCATGATCACTGCATACAACTACTACATAGACATCCATGCAGGTGAATAATTATATACGTACAATAAATTTTTTTTTACAAATCTCAAAAAAGTTTTAAAGTGGTTTAAAAAAAAACCCTAAAAAATGAAATAGTTAAAATTATTGAAATAAGTGGAGCGGCAGGCTGCGTTCCTGCCGCCCCGGCTCACGACCACCTAGCTAGCTTATGCCCCGAAAGAATTATATGGAAACTGTATTCTTTTAAACACTGCCTGGCTCATTAGTTCCAGCCTCTTATTGGCTAGCTCTTACATATTGATCTAACCCATTTCTAATAATCTGGGTAGCACCATGAGCTGGCTTACCAGGAAAGATCTTAACCTGCGTCTGTCTGGAGTGGGAGAATCATGGCGACTCACTGACTCGGCTTCTTTCTTCCAGCATTCTGTTCTGTCTGCTCCGCCTACCTAATTTTCTGTCCTATCAGGGCCAAGCAGTTTTCTTTATTAATTAACCAATGAAAGCAACAGATAAATACAAGACCCACATCCATCATAAAATAAAAAATTTGCTGTATGAGATCTGAAGGCCGCAGAAAATGTGACCTAGCTTTGCAGTATATATAATTATTCAGGCTGAAAAATAGAAAACTGCATAGTAAATACTTGACCTATAAAGTCACAAAAATGACTTAAAGTATACTTAATTAGAGCCTGAAAGGATTCTCAAGAGGAGAAAGAAGTATGGGACATAAAAATATTTGTAGATAATTACAGAAAAAAATTAAAATTAATGGAGATATATAAATTTATAGAGTTAATAAACTCATGAAACCCATAAAAGATGAATACAAAGGAAATTACACCTGGGAACATAATAACTTCTGAAATCCAAGTTAAAATTTAAACCTTTAGGTCAGCCTTGGAACTTACTACATTGCAGTAATAAAAATAAGAGCAAAGGGGTTCTTACTAGAAATAATGAAGACCAGAGGGCAGCATATTAAGAAAAAAATTTTTTTGAAAAAAAATTCTGCTATCACCAGAATTTTGCGATTGATATAATCTTCTCTGGAAATGGAGGTGGATGGAATGATCTTTTAGTTTCTAGAGGGGAGATACTAACCCAAATGCATTATATGAAATTGCCAAAGAACTAACTAAAAATAGAGCTTCTTGTGAGCATACAGTCATTGTGTGAGATGAAAAGCAAGTTCTTCAAACTGA